TTTATAACAAAGAGTTAAAAAAAAAAAAATGTTCTTGTACTTTTGTGTTACTGGCTTGCAAAGCAGTTATATGTTTCAGAAATCACATCCAGTTATTGCAGATTACTGGTCATAGGTTGACACAAAACAGGGAATTTAGAGTTAAGGATATGGCTGAAACAAGATGAATTCTCATTCAAGATCAATGCTCTCTTAGTTAATACAAAACAACATGAAAATAGTTTAAGTATTGTCCTGTTGTTGCATTTCTCCTTTCTTGTCCATTAGTATTATTCAGACTCTTCTGCTTGCAATGTAAAGCGTTCTAATATACTAAGCAAACAACAGAAAGTTAAAGTAATATAGAATTAGAGCTTTATATCTGCAAATAAAGTATCAAACATAAAAGAAATGCTACTGTATGCTGACTTGAGGTATTTGTATGATGAAAATAACATAAGAGTCTCAAATCTTCTAGTCTTGCTAAGCAACATTTAAGAAAATCAAAGTATAAGGGACATACTCATATTTTGCAGCTTTTTTTTTTTTTTTTGATGAGTCTGAAGCATAAATTTATGCTACCTAAAGTAGCATAAATGAACAGACCATAATTCAACAGCTAAAACAGCTAAATCTAGCTTAGGACAGCTGCATATCCTCATTTGAAAAACTGAAGTTATGGACATTTCAGAATCATTAAGTACTTGATGTATGTGTAAGAAATGCTTATATTTCCAATGCTGCTTTCATCATATAGAAAATTAAAGGACAAAATTATAGTGGGAAGAAAATATTCTAAAGTGTTTTTCATCACATGAGAAAAATAGCAAGGAAGGCTTAGCATCTAAGCTACTGATGAGACATCTTGACGACAGGCAATGAAACTCCAGCCTAACAAATCAGGTTTAGCTACACTGAAGCACTGGAAGTGCTGTATTATCAGTGTCTGGGTCCAGGTTTCCTGCAGTCTGCATGATGCTGCGTTATGATTTATCAGCTCCAGCCATTCATATTTCTCTCAGTCAAGTCAAGTGGGATACACATTCTGCCTTTAGATTTGGGGGTAGCTTTGCATCTTCTTTGTACACAAATAAGAAAGTTATTGAATTTTCAATAACAGATTCAGACAAAAACAAAGGGATAATGAAAAGCTGGGGAAGTCTATCCAGCAGATGAGCAGGCCTTGGTTTCATGCTGCACTAAGAGAGGAACTGCTCTAGGGATAAATAAACAGACTTTAGCTCTGGGAAATGTTATTTTCTGTAATGATAAGAAGAGTAAAGAGATAGCTAAAACTCAATATTTACTTTGTGTTCCAGGAGTTTCTCTGAAACTAGTTCTGCATCTGTAAAGCTCTGTGCATGACTGTGATTTTGCGAAAATAGAAATAGGTCAGTTTGTATTGCTGTGTGAGTAGAGAGAGGATTCAAGAGTAGTTCTGCCCATCGATACCTTGAGCACCAGATCACAGTTCTCAGCCCTCAACAAGAAAAAAGAGCTGTTTCTTAATCATCAGCTTACATTACACCAGTTTCACATTCCAATGCCATCTCTAAAAGCAAAATATCTTCTTGCAGAACAGCCTTGTACCCCCTCTAACATGGTCAATGATTCCTAGCAACAATCAAACCTAGTACTAAATCACAGCAGTGATAATGTAGACCACTTAAGCGCAAGGTCCTGGGGCATTTTGCACTTGCAGTCACCTTATCTCATTCTGCAGTCATCAGTACCTTTCAAATACGGCTTTCCTATCAGTGTTAATAGAAGTGAGCTCAGTACCATTTGCATACAAATCAATGGCTGTTCCAGTTGCTTACCAGAAGACATTTATGGCCCTTTGTAGACCATCAAGGTCATTTTTTCCCTCTGGGAGAGGCACCCTGGCATTGAGTTCACAGAAGTACCATCACATACACAGATGAAGGGGTGCAATTTGAAGGCAGTAAGAGACAAAATCTGCTTTTTTCTCTGAGACACAGGGGATCAGCTACTTTTCTTAACTCTGTAATGGTTTCTTAAATTGCTATTATTTAGTCTTTGAAAATGATGGGCCTCTCCTGGTACCTGCAGCTGCTAACCTACCCACTGGATCAAGGGCTTTGAAGTGCAAACATTGCAGACAGCCAAATGTTAGCTGTCTGGAAGCTTCTGCCATGGAAGGCTTTAGGAGCACCCCTGACTGTCAGGATGTTTTGATTTGAATTGGAAGGCCTTTCAAGGAAAAAAAAAAAAAAGCCAGCAGGTGCAGAACTTTTTACTCCTACCTCTGTTCTCATTAAAGAGAGTTTAGGCATTGAAGGTCATAATTGTCATGGATAATTAACACATCTCTATAACTTTGGGTGAAAAAAAATATCTCATGAATGAAAAATGAACACAACTATCTTGAAAGTAATTTTTAGGGTTAGAAAGATAGAAAGTTCACTCACTAGATTTTGTTTTTATTTTTTTAATGTGCATATTAGGGCTAAAGGGGCATTTCTAGTGTTTGCTGGCTTAAAAGCCTCTTTAAATTTTAGTCAAAAGCTCACTGTCTGTCATGGTGGCATTGTTAGGTGCTTTTCTGACCTCATTTCTGGGTGAGCAAAGGGAATTAAGGAGATGTTTGTCTCTTCTTTCAGGTCAACATATTGGTTGAACACACAGTGACTTACAGCACTACAGACATCCGAAGCACTGAAGTAGATTGTTTCCTTTCAGGAATTAAAAATGCATTTTCTATGTACTAGCTCAAAGGTTCCTTCCATTCATAAAAATTTAAACCCTCACTGTCAAAAAGTAGTACTATACGGAGCAACTGTGTAGTGTTACAGACCATGAGTTAATACTCTTTCTCCTCCCACTGTTCTTCTGAGCAGACAATGACTATTAACTAAAATTTTAAAAAACAATAGATGCAGTCTACGAATAGACAAGTGACTCCATAGATAAACATGCAGATGCAGTTTTTACAAGATGTTTATAAGCAAGGTGATTTCTATCTCAGAAACCCTCTTCACAGTGCAGTTTCTCTAAGCCTTCCTCGCCCTTTTTCTGGATACCTCCATACACGTGTAAAAATACGGTATCTTTTTCCCTGTCAATTGGTTTGTGGTGTACATTAAAGAGAATTCAGAATTCTGAAGGAAAGCTGAATTTAATTACTTTCATATATTTTAGTAATTGTGATTCATTTCTGAAAATTGTATCTGTCTCCTTTGGCAGAAGAGCTGTGCTCAGTTCTTTCAGAATGAACATTTCCATGCTATTTGCATTTCAGTTTGGGAATGTTCAGTTTGGGAATGAGGGAAAAAGGAGATGGGAAAAAAAAAAAAAAAAAAGGTTCATTACACAGTCATTGCACTTATACGATTTTCCATTTTCCATTGAGGAACCCTCTTTGGCTGGTAGTTCCAAACCATATTAGATGCTGCCATATTTGGAAGATGGGATCATTAAGCACTGATTATTTTAATGCTTTGAACTGTTACTTGTTTGACAAGGTTGGGGTTTTTTTGGAGAGAGTCCTATGAATTCTGGTTTGGCAATAAATGGAGGCTGCTTTCAGAAAGCCTCTGCAAAGTGCACTTGGAAAGACTTGCACCATGCCTTGTCACATTACTGATTAAAATAGTACTTAGGATTTTCTGAGGGTTTTCTGGTAGCACTGTGGAAGCAAGTAAAACTGATGTATTAATACAGTGGTATTTGTGATCTAAACTCCTTCCTCTGGTAGCTTTTCTTCTTTCACCTCCTCCCATCAGGACTTTACCAAGAGCACCAAAGTGTTACAAAAAAAATCAACACGGTTAGCAGCTCTTTCTAATTCATCAACATCCATTTGCAAGCTTCTGTTTTGATTGGACAAGCAACAAAACAAACATGCAAACAAACAAAACACAGCTGATTCAGTAAGTGAAAATTCTTAGTCTTTGTGAGTTTCTGGAATGCCTGAAACAGTTACATGAAGTTAAGTACTCATAAAAATTAGAAAGAAGTTAGAGATACAGGATTGGCACAAGCCTATAGGAAATGTCTTGTCTTGTTGCTGAAAAGTTCAGTCCTTTGTATCCTAAAATGCTGATGGTTTAAAGCATTTTGCTTCTTTTAGTAGAGGGCATTCAGGCATTAAAGACATTAAGTTTCTTGCAAGGGAACCATTGATGGTTCTCCATAGCATGAAGGAAGGGTAGGTAGAGGTGAGATAGTAACATCTAGGAATGAGTATTAACAGAGTGCTAATGGAGTGCCCAGTACCACTGTGTGTGCAGTGCATGCAGTAGGTAATATCAGAGGTCAGCAACAATGTCAACAGCTGTCTCCAGCAGTAACTTCACAGTCTTTCATCTGCAGATGTAAAAAGGAGGTAGAGGGAGGAATCTTCCTGACATAAGCATTACATATGAACAAGATTACCTTTAAAACACTGGACTTCAGATGCCATGTTTCTCACCCTCATCATGCAGGCAACTTTAGGGAAACGTCGGGTCTTGCTGGTTGGCAGGACAGTGGGAAGCATACTGCATACTGGAATAGGAGACCATCCGCATGCTGCTTACACACAAGAAAGTTAAGAGCGTACCACATCTATAAAAGTCAGTCTGATCCTTCTTAATTACATTGTCTCAGTTATCTTCAATATTTACGTGCATGCATGTGCTTGCTATTTGAGTAACAAAAATAGCTCTCCTCACCTTCTTTCCTCCTTTCAGCATTACATTATATAAGAGATCTGGGCTGAATTATGGCACATGGGTAACAAACGATCCAAGGCACTTATACTGCCTGGCATTCTGTGGTTCTTGTCCATGCTTTGTGCTGATCATCTGTTGTCTTTCTAATAAAGCAGTGAACAGATTCAGTGAACAAATTAGACAGTCATTATTTTTCCAGGCCAGGAGATTTTTGAGCTTTCTGTGAAGGCAAGGGATAGGTGGTAAAGAAGCAGTTCCTTTTAGGATCTGACTCTCTGGAATCAGCCTATGATGAAAATCAAGATTTTATGCTATAGATGCAACTGTTCTGTTTGTGTCTTGCAGTGAGCCACCTCTATGGATTTGGACTGATGGATGCTGAAGCAATGGTGATAGAGGCAGAAAAGTGGACAACGGTCCCTCCACAGCATGTGTGCGTGGAGAACACAGATCGGCAAATCAAGTAATACCCGCTGCCAAAACTCTTGCTGGCATAAACTTGTGGAAAGAAATTGGGTATAATTTACCCCTCCCTTGCATTGTGTTTAATGTATCATTTTGAAAGCTACACTGGGGATCTCTGTCACCTTCACAGGTCTCAGGTCATTTGTCTATAAAGGTTGTTCCCCATAGTAATTGGAAAAAAGGCCATAGTTTAAAGAATGCCCCAGAAGTTGAAGGTACAAAACAAGCCAGGTTGGATGTTGATGAATACTGGTATAGAAGTATAAGAATGTCTAAGAAGAAGAATGTCCAATCAAGTGCACTGCAGTCAGATGAGTACAAACTTATCAGTTGGGGGTCTGACAAGTAAATACTCTTGTCATTAAAACCTTACATGATAGTATCTCTCTCAATCAGTCTCAAGAGAGCCTGTCTAAAGGCTAAGACTAAATTGCTCTCTGCTTGCTAGGATAGGTTTTCCACAGAACCAGGCTTAAGAGCAAAGTTCTGTAAGTGCACTCTGTGACTACAGAGAGAGCATCAGACACAAGACACGTTTCCAAAGCATTAAGGTCATTGTGGATACTTTTTGTTTGACAAATATACATGACAACCTTGACCCATAACTAATATAGTCTGCAAGGACACTGTGCCAATTTAAACCAGCTGAGTCTGATGCTGGTTGCCCACTGTTTGCTACAGTTAACATGTAATACTTGCTATTACGTAAGCAAGGACTATGGCTATGCCAGGCATTTCCTGGGGCTTAACAAGCAGCTGTGATCCCATGACAATCCCAACAACTCTCAGCTGGCCACTAATCCTCAAAAATGCTCTGTCCCAAAGGCTTATTCCTTTTACAGGTTTTTTACAATCCTCTTTTAACATGAGGGCATATCAGCATAGCCCTTAACAGAAAGCCGGGCAGTTGCCAGGAGCTGCAGTAAAATTACACTGTGGTGTGTTTCTGTTGGGAAATAAGTGTTAAAACTAAAGACATTCACTACTCTGCAAAAGTGATTGGGTTGTCTTATTCTACAGAATAAGCAAGAAATGCTGATGTTGTTTTATATGCTTACATTATAGAACAATACGACCCGACAGCGTTGTCCGTTCAATTTACAAAGCCACTGGCTGTTCAGATAATCCTAACCACCATGTGATCTACTTGGAGCACGTTGTTGTGCGCATCACCATTACTCACCCTCGACGTGGAGACTTGGCAATTTACCTAACCTCTCCTTCCGGAACTAGGTCACAGCTCTTGGCCAACAGGTACAGTATGACAACGCAACTTCACAGTCCAGTCAGCATGCAGAGCCTGCACTGAGACTGCAGCATCAGCAAAGAATAGTCAAGCCATTACCATAGGATTGCTGACAGACACAGGGTAATCATTTTTTTCAGAGAACGATGGAGAAAATGAAGTGCAAATGAACTCATATATGTAAACCTCTGTCTTTATTAATAGATGAGTAAGCTGTAAATCTGCTGAAGATCATAATCTTTTAAAAAAAAGATTTGTCTATTTTCATACCCTTGTGTGGCTTACCAATTATTTAATGGCTGGAAATTTTGAAGAAAATAGTAACAGGCTTAGTGTTACAGAAGGAAACTGAAGCTGAATGGATGTGTGCTTCTACTATACTTTTGGCACTTATTATTCATTTCTCTCTTTTCTCATCCTTTCTTCACTAGTAATAAAAATCAGACAGAATGGTAATTTTCTACTCCTATTTTCCTTAAGCTTTGTGAACACAGCTATGACTCCTGGCATCACCAATTTCTTCAGGACTTTTAATAAATAGGAGTTTTCCAGCTTTCAAGACTGCCCCACATTCATATCTATATCATCCCAGCCAAATTTGCCGATACAGTGACTATCGAGCTCTGGAGAACTGCATGTCTTCCTGACCCTCAGTTGTAAAATGACCTATTTCTTGAGAGGAAGGAGCTATTTTTCAGACAGGTGGAGCTCAAACTGATTTGGTTCTGACAAAGATATAAACCCACATTTTCATTAGAGATGAGGTTAATTTAAAAGAAAAGATTCACTGAAAATATTCTTCAAACTATAGTCATAAATGTACCAAATAGAGAGCAAGTTGTGCCAGAATTTTGGGGCACTCAAGAATAACTTCTGTGTTTCGTTATGAGTGCCATCAGTGCCTTGCTGATAAAACATGAGCATAAATATCTATGTATCTCTCTGCTACCCTGAACAAAAAACCTTGCCTTTTACTAACTGTGCCAAGGCAGACTTCTACCCTCAAAACAGTTATGAATCTGGCTTTTGTTTTTTCTTTGAATAAATTCCTCTTTAGTTTTCTATTCCATTTTTTATGCAACCATTCTTCCATGCTTCAAAATGAGAAAGTCTAAAACTCCTCCACCTAGGTATCCAAACAAAACAATCTTGTGTAAACCCAGTGGTCTTAACACAGCTAACTTTTGGCTCTAGACATTCATGTCTTGCAGTTGACTCACAGCAAGTGGGAGATAAAGACATTCCAGTATTCACAGTTCACCTCTGGTGATGACTGGTATGTGGAATAGGTACAAAGTCTAATTCACTCTCTTTGTAACCTTAGAAAGTAATTTTTCTTTACCTGTGGTAGAAAGATGCAAAGGTATTTATTAAAATACAGTGATGTTCAGCTGTTTCTTACACTAAACTATCAGAAGGCTAACCAGAAAACGAAGAAACCTGAAAGACCTTTTAGTGTTTTGCCATTTTGCAAAAATGAATTGTTAATGACTTGTACTGTCACACCAGAAATTCCTTTCCCATGCAAGATTCAGATGTATACTGACTTGTCAGTCACATATGGATGAAACAAACTCACAGCTCTGGGGTAATAATATTAAGGAATAAAGGCGTTTTGAAAACTCTAGGTCTGAAATACCTGGAGACTTCAAAAAAACCTTTCTTATGGTGAAATGGAAGAGTTGTTATTTGCTAACATAAGAACGCATTTAATTTTGAGACATTTGATTATTAAAGTATTTATCACGAGGACATCAGAATAGCCAAGTACAGGTAGCATGCAGAGATGCATTGGCAGAAGGCAGTCTGGTGGGCTTTATTCTATAGGCAAAGGTCCCAGAGGCTGCTGTACATTGCTACTACCTGACTGAGACACTTTTCTCAGACGTACAAGACCTTTTAATGCACATGTACATGATTAATAGCAGCAATACCAGCTGTTTTTACTGAACCCAGGAAAAACCTCATTGCTTTACCATTACTCATCTGGGTTTAATTTGAAACAGTTTGCTGGTAAAATGTCTTAAAGTGCAAAAGGTATATTTTACATATGTGCACTTCTTCTGCACCAATTCTGGGAGAAGAGTCATTGAGTAGTTTCTGGTGCATTGACGAGCAGGTCCCTCAAGGCAATATCTGGCTTTTTTTTTCTGCATATTTTATCCTTAATGTTGGCATCCCCTGAAATGACTTCAGTAAGAAAACTTGTTAGTCAGAGGCGATGTGGATTCCTTCGCAGGCATTTGGTGGATTACACTGTCACTGGCTTGAGCCTCATGTGCATTCTTCAAAAACTGCATTACAGGGAACATCTGCTTTGTTGTTTGGAAAGTACTAAACATGATTACATTGGATGTACTGCAACAGAGCAAAATACAGGCTTGGAAAGTGCTGGCTGCTGTGAGGATGAGGCTACAGTTAAGTCCAAAGGGGAACAGTATCCCCTTTCTGAAAACAATTGGCCATTGGATTTGGCAGCATTGTTTTCTGAGTGTTTTTGAGACATGCTAAGATCAGTACAAACAGACACTCAGTACAAGGGGCCATGGAGGAGAAGCTAAATACAAAAAGGGCAGAAGAAGCAAACTTGGGGCTCATTTGTCTCCCAGTGAAGTTTCGGTTTGTTTAATTCCTGCCCTTTAAATTTAAAGCAGCTGTTGCCATTCGAACTGCGTAACTGAAATTTTTTAGCCACGTGGTGGCAACTTTCCAGGCCACTAGCTTCCTATGCTTATATGGCACTGACATTAATAATACCTCTGTTCAACAACAAAGGGAAGTATTTTCATGACCATCTTTTTCCTATAATGAAACTTAGATAATCAGTAAATTTTAATAATACCCCTCTCTGCAGAAATCTCTTAGATCAAAAGTGAGGTATTCTTGTCTAATCTTGCTTGCTAGATCACTCCATAAAAAATCTTGGTGAACAGAAGTAGCGGAAACCTTTCTTTATAGGAGGACATTTTGATTTCTGGACCAGCCCATCTTATATCTTACATCTGAAGTTTACACATTATACCCTAATAACAAAAACAACATTTTATGCATTCAAATATGAAGAAAAGGGTAGGGTCAACCTTCATACTGAGTCTTACTGTTAGAGTAACTGAAAATGACATGCTGGTGATATTAAATCCAGGATGAGCAATCAATAATCCTGTCCTTTGTACAATGTCTACAGGGTGAAGCAGTTCTCAGAAAACTGTCTTGCAACTCTTACACCCTATATTTTACTTCATTCAGGTTGTCTACGTCTTTTATCTTAGTTTAGTTTTGATTTGACATCCTACTACCTTTCTACCACCCATTCTTCGAACTCCTGCAATTGCAACATCAATTCATCTGAAAAAATATTAGAATGCTTCTTCTGTTATACCCTGTCAGTGTTAGCATTATATAGGTTAAAGAGCTCTGGGAATACTAGAGACCCAACACCAATATTTTATTTAAAAAAAATAAAGCTTCTTTTTGTACCAAAGAGGAAAATTACTGTTGATTTGTCCACCTCGGCAAGAACAAGTAATGGGGTTAAATGTGCAAAGCAGTACATGAATGCATCTAAGTGACACTATCCTCTGTGTAAGTCTAATATCCATCCTGGAACATGCTCAAATATAATCGTGGAAGAAAAATTAAGTGCAAATATATCTGAGATTTAGAATGACACTTGCCTTTCTTTCAGACTGAGAGTAGTAAAGAATTAGTCAGACGGTTCTTCAGATTAGGTATATATTAGCTTGTAGAATTCAGTATTTCTAGTTCAGTTATAGCAGAAAATTGGAATCCATAATTAAAATTTTGAAATAATTTGCTGTAGTAGAAGTGGAATTGAGGACAAATGAGTGAGCACATACTTAGGATCCAGATAAATGCCTTACCTTTTGAGTTTTGTATTAAATGAAGAAGAGAAACTGTGTAAAATATACAAGAGGATGAATGCCTAGGGTTTATGCATTTGCACCCGCTACTATGGTGAGAAAAAATGAATCTTTTCCTACCTATACAAAAACTAGACCAACCTCAATCTTGCTATAATAGCACTTATTGCACTGAGTTTCACTTGGATAAATTGGATTGTGCAATGGAGAGTCAGTCTATACTGATGCCCTTACCCTAATCATTTATCCCTTTCAACCTACCTGACACATCAGGATAGGAAAAGTCCATATAAGGAACCAAGTTCACTCATGCTCTTGAATTAGCATTCCTGCTCACTCTATTTAGAGTGAGGTTTCTGAAGATTTATGTATTAATAGGAAAGCACACACAGCTTTTTAGAAGACATCTATAAGCATCAGGTACACAGCTGTCTGGGTAGTACAGCGTATGGAGCTCAGCAGCATGACAGGTCTTTAGGTCATAACAGAGCACTTCATGATGATATGTGCAGTCCCTGGGGACAAGCTCTCCATAATTAAAGATGATGGCTGCTGTTCTCTCCAGCATCTCAGATGGCAGACATCATACCCTGTTGCTGATACTACTCTTTTACAAACAAGTTCTTCATGACAGCTCAGACAGAGAACTCCATTGCTTCAAAAAAAAATAACTGCAATAACAAAACTTGAAGTGTAAATTTAAGAAAAAAATGAATATGTTTTAAATAAATCTTTTGATCTCTTATCCAAAAGTTTTAAGTGAGCATCCCCAACATATGTAGGTGAGAAAGCTTCTGAGGTGCCTGTGTGCCCTCTGACCATTTCTTTTTTATTTTCCTGAATAATTAAATTCAGGTGGGCAGTACCACCTGACTGGCTTTGGTTAAGTCAGTTTGAGCTGCCTGCAGTTCTTCAGGGGTTATATGTCCCAGGGGACAGGTGGTTGAACCATGTGGAGAAGAGCTAGTTCAAGAAGAATAGTTGACCAAAGCCTTTGCAGGTGCACAGCTCAGGAATATGCTCTGTACATTTTTCAAGATACTAACTCACTTTAAATGTTGTGGCCAATTAGACCAGTAGGCAAGGACCGTTGCCTGTCACGCTGCCAATTTAGTAGGCTGGAGCCCATCATAAACACAGGCTGCTGTTACAGAGAAGAAAATAGCTTTATTTTGCCAGCTACTCTACTGTTCGCAACCCCAGCCATCAGCCAGTGCAGGGTATATGTCTCCTGGCTCTCCTTCTGGTAAGTTGAATATGCATAGCATGGCTGTCAGTCACCATCTGCAGCTGTACATCCTGGGATCAGAAGAAGATCTAGATAATAAAAAGAGACTCTTCTATACATTTTCTACTTTCTGTGCATTTGGGAGATTAGAGATTCTTTGCTAAGTAACTGAAACACTTTTTTTTTTTTACTTTTTTTTTTTTTAATGCTAATAGGCTTGAGAGACTAGCTGTGTGTTCCTGATTGTGGAATCTCCTAAAAGTGGCTAATTGTCCCCCATTATGTCTAAAATTTAATTACAGATGAATATTTCTGGTTGAAGTTATATTCTTAAGCAGAAAGGTAATGCAATTTCTAGGCTGAGCTTGTGGTACTAGAAGAGTTCAAGACTCTTAAATTTATTTTAAGGAAACAAGTATTTTACTCTACACTCTGTAAAATATACGTTCTCATATAGACCTACTCATAGTGTGTAATGAGTATGTCAAAAAATTCCTCAGAGGCAAGAGTCATTATCTTTAAATGCAATGCTATTTACCATATGCAGTAGCCCAAAATTAGTTTCTCTGGATATAAACAGTCATGTAATCACAACCACACTAACTTGAATGTGCTCTAGTGAGAAAAGTCACCTGGGCATAACATATCTGTTCTGTTGTGGTTATGTTAACAAGTAAGTTATGAAGAATCAAATGCTGTCACCCACTTTGGTCCTTAAAAGCATGTTTGTTACATACATGTGTGGATATTGCAGACATGAACATGGTGATAAAAATTATTGGATTATTCCAAGTGTCCTGATTAACTAAAATTCTTAATCTACAATAACCAGGAATAGATAAATAACAATTAATCAAACGATGTACTAAAAATTTACTAGTCCATAAGAAGCTATGTATACATGCAAGTCTGTCCTTACTATGAATTCTGACTTGCCATCAATCTGACAAATAACAGTTAAAATCAATTACCCATCTGGATTGGCTTCAGGCTCCTTAAAAGATGTTATTCAATATATATTTCTTTTTGGATAAGAAAAAATAAACCTGAACTTTTTTTTTTTTTTTAATTATTTAAATCATTTTATCATTTAACGCCACTGAAAGGAAAATTCAGGATCTTTTATTTGAGAGTTTAGTGCATAAGCAGAGTGACACAAAAATACTTGAATCATTGAGTTTACACAACTTGCACTTGCAGATAGCCTCAGAATCACTACCTTTCTACGTTGTTATCTATTTTTTTGACCTGTCTGTTGCTTATTGTCTCATTTACAGACTTATTTTTAGAAATAAAACTCATACATTAAAAGTTTAAACCTTCATAAAATTCAAATCTTTCCCAAAAAAAGGTTAGGGAAGTATTCTTTCCAAAATCTAGTCCACTGTCTATGAAATAATGTTACTGTTTTTCCCTGTTTCCATGTATGGAGACGTGAAAGCTTACAGTTTCAGCCATAGCATATTTTAGGTAGAAGTGTTTTTTATACATTAGATGAAGTCATAAGGTATTTTTGTCTCTTTCTCTCTGAATGACTTAAAAGAGTGATGCAATCTGATAGTATTTTAAAATATTAAAAGTTGGCATACAGACAACTTTAAACACAAAATAATATGGGAAGTATTGAACTAATTACAGTAAAAAGTGTTTCTATATGTGTGAATGGAAGTTAAATGAATATAGAATTTACAGTATAATTGTGCAGTAGTTACACAATGCTATATATACATATATATATTGAATATATATATATACATATATATATTGAAGTGAGCAGTGGAAATTTGTCCTCATGCTTTTGACAGACCAAAGTTTTCAGCTAGAAGCAAAGTATTTTATTCATATCCCGTCCGAATGCTTTTACAAGAGCTTGATGCATACAGTGCTACAAAAGTATTTTACTTTCCCAATGTTTGTCTGCTGAACTTCACAGCCTTCTAGAACAACTAAAGTTTGAAAATTACTTATAAAATAACAATAAAGAGACAAGTGAGTGTAAAATATCCTATTATATTTATAGTCTAATGCTAGGTATTTCTGTATCCTATGGAAAAGGTTTTAAATCCCCTGTATTTTCTACCATAGATATCATTTTAAATGATAAATATTTAAACATTGCTGTCAGCAGTGAAATTTCCACATTTTAAGGCCATGGTAAAATAGTGACAACTGCATATGCATAAATATATATGCATATACATACATATTTATTTCAAAGGTGAGCTGTGACATTTTAATAAATGCAACAGCTTTGATTATAGCTCCCATCAATAGCTCTGGGGTACCAAGCAGACATACTGTGAGTACGGAATAAAAGTGTAAATTCTCTTGTCTTTCCAAAGCTCTAGTAATAAATTCCAGTTTTAGGCAATAAAATGGCTGCCCAGTCCTCCTTCTCCTTCCCCCTCCAGATCAGTATCACATAGCAGCTTCTGAGCTGGGCCCCTGTATTAGGAAGTATTGTAATCCAGGCCTGAGCTCCACCCCAAGACCTAAGTAATTAAAATATAACCATGTTTTTACATGAAACCATCAACTCTCAGTTTTACCCAAACTCCATCCTGTCAAGTGTTTGGTAATAGATTTGAGAGGTTTTGAGGTTTGAGTCCAATGTCTCCATTACATTTGATTTCCTCACGAGCAGTTGCATGTATTGAATTGCTAATTTGTCTTGTTCACTCAATAGTTTTTATTTTTGTATTAGTTTTTATTTTTATATTTGTTATTGTTTTTAAATCCTTTTTAAGTATTCCAAACCAAAGCCAAAAAAGAATGTTACAGAAATTTTGCAACTTATAAGTTGTTTATATTTATGTCATGCTGTTAAAGCAATGAATATGCACTTTTCCCAATAGATATGCATCCTATTAAATCACATTAGTGATTTTTTTTTAATTTTTTTTTTGTAGTGAATTCTCCTTCCATTCTCTTTCATACTATCTCCTTACAGAATCTCCTCCACTGAAACAATAAGGAAACTCTTGAATGTACTTGAACTATCTGTGAGAAAACCATCATGTGTAACGTTAAGTAAAGACACAGATAAATGAGTGGGCTAATTAGCATATAATTCAAGAATTTGCATATTGGGGCCTAGCACCACAAATAAAATGGTTCACTTAAAATAATATGATTTATTGTAGGCTATTTGATCATTCCATGGAAGGATTCAAAAACTGGGAGTTTATGACTACTCATTGCTGGAGTGAAAAAGCAGCAGGTGACTGGATCTTGGAAATCTGTGACACTCCATCTCAGCTGAGAAATTTCAAGACCCCAGGTATGACTGTAGTCTTTATTTGAGCTCAGTGAACTTAGAGGAATGTTTTCAGTTTCTAATACTGTCTCGACTGCTTTGCGCCTTTTATTTACATCTGTAACATCTGACTATATAAAGACAAGTGTGAAAGCAGAGCTGTGAAGAGAATTATTCTTAATTTATTAGTGTACTCTTCATTTTTATGTTGCTGTTTTTTGCCACTTAAGACATGATTTTCTTATATTCTGAACTTTCTTGTAGTGTCCATAGAGAATTTCATCTTCTCAATGGTAAAATGCCCTCTTTTTTGCGTTCAGACATGTTGCCTCAAAGTATAAAAAGATAGTTTGAACATTTAGAGCTAGATCATACCAGTTATGAATTCTGCAAGCAGAGAATGACTCCTGTACCAGCTGAAATGTTACAAGAGTCAGTGTTTTAAAGAAAACCAAAACTCTACTAGTCACAGTTTTCAATTAAAAACAAACAAACAAAACAAAACAAAAAAAAAAAAAACCTGCATGAAATTGCAAGTATCAGGTTTGAAAGAAGTTACAGTATTGTGTAGTGTGATTTTTTTTAACACTACAGGCATTCTTATTTTAATTTCCACTGCACTGGTCAGTTTCATTCACATATTTCAGTAGAAGCACTTTGAAAGAAATAGAGATTAAGGGAAGAGCTTTCAAAGAGACCCAAGTGAGTAAATGATTATTTCTGTTTGCTGGTTTTGAGAGATGAGTATTTACTTCCATTTGCACCAACTGAAAATTTCAACCTTAAAACCATTCTGAAAGAGATATGTTATATGTAGACAAAAATTGCAGTGTTTATGCATGATACTGAGCATAGTTCTTTTAGAAACGCACATCAAAGTAGGTGGAAAGCCTTTCATAAAAACAATCAAAGGGGAAATATCGCTTAAGCAAGTAATGTAGATTAAAACATATGTTAGAGAGATAAATATGACTAATGTATTGGAATTTATTTCCCCTCAATCTACATTTACACTTATTCCAATTGGGCAGCATGTAAGAATGTAATCATATTGCACTGGAAGTGACAAATTCTGCTCTGAAGTATTATATATAGGACTACAATGACATGAGCAATAGAATTAGTTTATAATTCAGTGAACTACAAGGTACATCGCAGCGATGTAAATTCAAAAAGCATTCAGGATTTTCTAATAGATTTGAATTCTGAATTTTAGGACATATATGTTAACTTAAAGTACTTGAAGCCATGGAAAAATATTTTGGTATATACAAATAAAGAAACATTGACTAAAATGTGAACTGAAGTGCTTAAAAGCTCTTTAAAATAAGAAAGACTGGTGTGATGGGACACATACATACATATATTTGCCTTTTCTAAAAGAATGCTAATTGTGACGATTCTGCTTTGTCCAAAAAAATGCCCATTAATTTTTCTGCAACCAGAAAAGTAGATGGAATATACTTTCTTGGCTGAAGTTTGGTATGTTGAATTGCTCAGACTGAACTGAAGGCTATGTGCAGTTCAATTATTCAAGGTAAACATACCTCTCAGAGGAGTTAGCAGTGCTGGGAGGGCAGCTTGTTCAGGCTCTCCTGCAGCTTAGAAACTCAGTAGAACTATTTCCACTGTGACTTAGAGCAAGCCAGGGCACTGGTGGAATTATAATGTAGAAACATGATGTTGTCCAGTCTCCTTCCTATTCCAAGTGGAACATAGGCCAAACTTAACTGGGTTTGTACAGTTTTCTTTGTACAAAAGTAAACCTCATTTCAATATGATGACAAAATAGAAATGCTGATTTTCTACCTTTAAAAATTCTAACACAGATCATTCTCACCCAACTCCAGTTGAAATCAATGGAATTGAATGAGAATGTTGGTTCTTTGGTTCTGCTCTTCATTAACTGAATTGTATTCTGTTAAATAAAGCAGATAGATAGGCAATCTCTGCTTTTTAAAAAAAGTCTCTCTGTTTATCTGGCCACCAAATCAAATTCTTTTATTGCCTAAATTGTCTGCATAATCTGAATTTTTCCAAGATGCTAAACCAGCAGTCATAACCCAATTTTTGTAAAACCTGGTATGTAATACAAGCCACATATGTCCCTACTGAATACCAGGATAATCAGTGTTATTTTCAAAATAGCTGAGCAGCAAACAACTTCTTATTAGTCTGTGATAACTGTAACATGGCCAGTATCATCTAAATATCAGTTGTATACTCAAGAGATTAACTTATAAGCCCATCATTTTGAAATTCCAATTGTCATCCTCTAGAGATCTGAAAGGAAATAACATTGTCAGTACTTCAATATTCACTGAATTTTATATGCACTGACCATTTCTCACCACGGCTTTACAGTGGTGAAAAGTTCTTAGGAAAGTGGCATTAATCAAACAAGAAAATGCAGAGCAAAGTTTCCCGTACACTAAAAGGGGTACTCATTAAAGGGGTATTTGGGAAAGTAGGTACAGACTACATAGAACAGAAATATACCAAGGTTACATAGTCACAGAACATTTGAGATGGGAAGGGACCTCTGGAGATACCTGGTCCAAGCACCCTGCCAGGGTCACACAGAGCACATTTCACATTGTGGGTTTTGACTGTCTCCAGAGAAGGAGACTCCACAGCCTCTCTGGGCAACCTGTGCCAGTGCTCTGTCACCATCACCATAAGTAAAGAAGTGCCCCCTCATATTCAATTATTTTTCAATTACTCAATTATTTTTTCATACTCAATTATTTTTCAACGATCCTGGGAATCTGGAGAGGTCCCGGTAGACTGGAAGCTGGCAAATGTTGTGCCAATTTTCAAGAAGGGTCAGAAAGAAGACCCTAGCAATTACAGGCCTGTCAGTCTCACGTCAGTGCCTGGTAAAATCATGGAGAAGATGGTTCTTGAACTTATTGAGGCGCACCTGGGGGACAAAGCAGTCATTGGTCCCAGCCAGCATGGGTTTGTGAAGGGCAGGTCCTGCCTAACTAACCTGATTTCCTTTTATGATAAGATCACCCGTATGGTGGACCAAGGGAAACCAGCTGATGTGATTTTTTTTGGACTTCAGCAAGGCTTTTGACACGGTTTCCCATAGGATCCTACTGGACAAAATGTCCACCATACAGCTAAATAAAAACATCATACGATGGGTGAGCAATTGGCTAACGGGCAGGGCCCAAAGGGTTATGGTAAATGGGGCTGCGTCAGGCTGGCGGGTGGTCACCAGTGGGGTCCCTCAAGGCTCCATTTTAGGGCCGGTACTTTTCAATATTTTTATAAACGATCTGGATGTAGGAATAGAAGGTATTTTGAGCAAGTTTGCTGATGACACCAAACTTGGAGGAGTTGTGGACTCTGTTGAGGGTGGAAAGGCCTTGCAGAGGGATCTGGATAGGTTGGAGAGCTGGGCGATCACCAACCACATGAAGTTCAATAAGAGCAAGTGCCGGGTCCTGCACCTGGGACGGGGAAACCCTGGCTGCACGTACAGACTGGGCGATGAGACGCTGGAGAGCAGCCTAGAAGAGAGGGATCTGGGGGTCGTGGTAGACAACAAGTTGAATATGAGCCAGCAGTGTGCCCTGGCAGCCAGGAGGGCCAACCGTGTCCTGGGGTGCATCAAGCACGGCATCGCTAGTAGGTCAAGGGAGGTGATTGTCCCGCTCTACTCTGCGCTGGTGCGGCCTCACCTCGAGTACTGTGTGCAGTTCTGGGCACCACAGTATAAAAAGGACATGAAACTGTTGGAGAGTGTCCAGAGGAGGGCTACGAAGATGGTGAAAGGCCTGGAGGGGAAGACGTACGAGGAACGGCTGAGGGCACTGGGCCTGTTCAGCCTGGAGAAGAGGAGGCTGAGGGGAGACCTCATCACAGTCTACAACTTCCTCGTAAGGGGGTGTCGAGAGGCAGGAGACCTTTTCTCCATTAACACCAGCGACAGGACCCGCGGGAACGGGGTTAAGCTGAGGCAGGGGAAATTTAGGCTTGACATCAGGAGGGGGTTCTTCACAGAGAGGGTGGTTGCACACTGGAACAGGCTCCCCAGGGAAGTGGTCACTGCACCGAGCCTGTCTGAATTTAAGAAGAGATTGGACTGTGCACTTAGTCACATGGTCTGAACTTTTGGGTAGGCCTGTGCGGTGTCAAGAGTTGGACTTGATGATCCTTAAGGGTCCCTTCCAACTCAGGATATTCTATGATTCAGATGGAATTTCTTGTGTTTCGGTCTGTGCCTGTTGCCTCTTGTCACCAGGCATTACTGAAAAGAGGCTGGGCTCATCTTCTTGACACCTTCCCTTCAGATATTTATACAGAAGATTCCCTCTCAGACTTCTCCAGGGTAAACAGGCCCAGCTCTCTCAGCCTCTCCTCATATGACAGATGCTCCAGTCCCTTCATCATTTTTGTAGCCCTCTGCTGGACTCTCTGCAGTATGTCCAGTATGGCTCTGGGGAGTCCAGAACTGGACACAGCACTCCAAGAGACCCTCTACACAGGACTGAGTAGAGGGGCAGTATCGCTTCCCTTGACTCGCTGGCAACACTCTTCCAAGTGCACCCCAAGATACCATTGGCCTTATTCATTGACCATGAGGGCCCATTACTGACTCACGGTCAGCTTGCTGTCCACAAGGACTCCCAGGTCCCTTTCTGCAGAGCTGCTCTCCAGCAGTTCAGACCCCAGCCTGTGGTGGTGCTTGGGGTTATTCCTGCTGAGGTGCGGGACCCTGAAATTGCCTTTGTTGAACTTCATGAGGTTCCTCTTTGCCCAACTCTCTAGTCTGTCCAGGTCCCTCAAATGGCAGTACAGCCCAGCACAGTTTTTTTATTTTCAGTCTGTTTGAATTTGATAAAGGACATCTATTACTCAGCTACTACATAATTTAAATCATTTACTGAGAAGAAAACAGACAAAAATCAATGATTTTGAACTCCATTTTGCACTTAGTATTCCTGAAGAAGTCAGGAACCTCTCTGACTTGAAGGACAATTTAGGGTAGCTCTGTCCTGGGCTGCATTAAGAACACTGACAGCAGATCAAGGGAGGTGATCCTCCCCCTCTACTCAGCCCTGGTGAGGCATCACCTGGAGTTTTGTGTCCAGTTCTGAGCTCCCCAGTCCAAGACAGACATGGAGCACCTGGATTGAGTCCTGAGAAGTGCTACTAAAATGATTAAGGGACTGGAGCAGCTCTCATATGAGGAAGCTGGGCCTGTTCATCCTGGAGAGAAGGCTCGGGCTGTCTGATTGATATGGATAAGTTTCTGAAGGGAGAATGTCAAGAGGATGGGGCCAGACTCTCCTCAGTGGTGCCCAATAATAGGCTGAGAGGCAACAGGTACAAACTGAAACACAAGAAGATCCATCTGAATATGAGGAAAACTTTACTGCAAGGGTGACTGAGCACTGGAACAGGCTGTCCACAGGAATCTCCTCCCCTGGAGATATTCAAAAGCTGTCTGGACACAGTCGTGGGTAATGTACTTCGGGGGACCTTGCTAGAGCACGGAGGTTGGACTAAGTGATGTCCAGAGGTCCCTTCCGAACTCGACCATTTTGTGATTCCGTGATTCACCTTTTTGTGTGCCAGAATACAGTGGTTCATTCAACAAGCATAAAGGAGAGCCAAAGAGCAACACATTTCAGCTATCAACCTCTTCTCTCTGCCCTGGCACGCTCCCTGTACTGAAGCCTAGAAAAGAGGTAACATAAAACCATCCTGCGAGCTGTTCCTTTGGGCATTTTTATAGCCCTTTTATGTCACCAGGACAGTCTAAAGAGACCAGCTACATTTCCAACCATACACTTCAAAGCCTGTTCCTGCACATCACATTCTATGAGAGTCATTGTATAGGTCTTACTGGTATATTGATTTCTATACTTTATATATATTCTTCTCAGTGGTACAGTGACTAATCATATGGGACTGATTTATTTTGCTCTGTGAGGAGCAAAGCCTAAAGATCCAACATGTAAAGAAAAGGGACAGTAAGGCCAGGGGATGTGGAGAAGGCACACTTTCCCAGCCAAGCATGGTGGGGGAAACTGATATGCTCAAGGAATTTTGCTGGAGAATTTATTCTTTACTTTCTTTTGACCTCAATGTGAAATACTGCTTTAAACTGGTTAGATTTTTGCATGTATTTGTGTTTCACCAGATGCACGCTGGTTGTGAATTTGGATCGTGGTTCATTGAATATTCTTTATAATTTGTCATACAGCTTTCTAGATTTGTGCTTCTCTCATAATGAAAGTTGTCCAATAACATATTCAGAAAGTTTTGGAAGTGCCTGAGATATTCACTGTGGATAAACTCAGATTTTTGGTCATGTTAGGGCTAGTCTCTGCAAGCAACAGAATGTGTAGTAAACAAATAGTGCTTAAACACAGTTTATGGTACCTCTAGTTTATCATCGTAGCCTGCAGTTTATCACATCGATATCACCATCATGCCTATTTCTTGTTTCTTTGTGTGCATGTGTTTGTTTAGCTATTGAAAGGTCTTATAATTAAGAGCTGCAGTTTTCCTGTAATCAAATTGAGAACAAAGAGCCAACATGTCATCATATCCCTGCATTGGCAAGGTAATGCCACATCTGTTACCCGTAAAGAAATGCAGGGTCCAGTTCATAAATGTAGTGCATGTGATTTCTGCATTTAATTCTGTAGAATTTATGGAGGAGGACATGTGCTTGCTGTGAAAAACTGTGATATACCCTTTCTCCTGTGCATACAACATGGAACTCCTGTTACGTACTAAATACAAGCAGAGTAAGGTATTATTCTAGCCAAACTAAGTGATGGAAGCAGCCAAAAATGGGCAAAGAAAGATTTTGGCTTAAATGTGCACATTTTGTTTATTCATTATAAAAGTTGTGTGTATGTATATGTAATTATTTATTGAAATATTTTCATTGTGCAAATTAAACCTGCCTTGAGGCGGACTTCATTTATTTGCTGGCAAGTCACATGAATTTTTTCCTTCTTTATTTACTGAACTATTCTTAAAAGGCAGCTAATCTCGTGAGAGACCCTGTGTTATTCCCCCTTGCTGCTCTTTTGCATTAGGTGTATATTGACAGCTCCAATCCTTCCTGCAGATATGTTAATGCAAGCCCTTCCATATGTGTAAGTCCAGACACAACAATACACTATGCCTAAGAAGCATCGGTTCCTGTGGTTATTTTTAGTGGGTACTTGCAAATATTTTCTTCTAGTACTTAGTATCTTTACCAGTGTTCTGGAAGAAATATAAAACCAACACTTGGAAACTTTAGTGATCATTGGAGAATAATAAGGACAAGGAGGAAAAGATTAGAGTAATGAACCAAAACACACATTTTTTGATTGCATCCAATATATCGTGGTCAATATGCTGTGGGAGTGGGTTAAAACACCAAAAGGACAGAGACTATATGGAGAAGTGTTTTTGAAAAGGCTGTAAAGATGGCTGCATGTCCTGTTAAACATCAGGTCTCTACGTGAATTCCTCGCTAAAAAGAAAAATGCCTTTAAGAACACTGCTGAATCACTCTAAAGAACATTGAGAGGTACTCTGATGCCCATATGTCTAAACAGGTGGAAAATAGATGATTTGGGTATTTTTAATCTAGGGGAGACTAAATTGCTCCATGGTTGTGAGCTACAGCAGGGATAAGACAAACTGAAAATAAAGTGCATAGAGTTTGAAAGTCAGGGCAATTAACCAGTAGTTGGGCAGCAAGTGTAGTAGATTCTTCATCAGTTAATTTTTAAAATCAGAATTGAATTTCTCTTTAAAAGTAATGCTTTGCTTCAGCTACAAAAAAAATGGAAGTTACTCTGTGAAACAATTAAGTTATATACTCTTTACAACAGTTTCTTCTTAAAAAATAAGTATAGAACAGAGAAGGTTTCATATGAAATGTAGAAATTTCTATCACATAAATATTAAATTGAGTTGGCAAGAGACAATCAGATGAAAGAGATTGCCATCTTTCACCCCAATATAAACCACTTAAAAGAATTCAGTTCCTATCTGTCAGATAGCTGACATTCCTCAGTGAAAGGAAATTCCTCAGTGTAGAGAGATCTTGACAAATAAAAGAGTTCAGCAATCACCAACCACATGAAATGACAGATTATGCACACGGGAAGGGGCAACCCTGGCTATACAGGCCAAGTACAGACCAGGGGATGAGAGGCTGGAAAGCAGCCCTGCAGAAAGGCATCTGGGGATTTGGGTCAACAGCAAGGTGACTGTCAGTCATCAGTGCACCCTGGCAGGCAAAAGAGTTGACCATATCCAGGGCTGCATCAAGCACAGCATTGCTAGTCAGTCGAGGAAAGAGACTGTCCTGCTCTAGTCCATGCCAGTGCAGCCTCACCTTGAGTACTGTGTGCAGTTTTGGGCACCGCAGTATAAGGATATAAAACAATCACAGAGTGTCCAAAGGACGGCTACAAAGATGGCTATGGGTCTGGAGAGCAAGACGTATGAGAAGCAGCTGAGGTCCCTTGGTTTGCTCAGCGCCGAGCAGAGCAGGCTGAAGGGAGGCCTCATGGTGGCCTGCAGCTCCCTCATGAGGGGAGCGGAGGGGCAGGCGCTGAGCTCTGCTCTCTGGGGACAGCGACAGGACCCAAGGGAATGGCATGGAGCTGGGACGGGGGACGGTCAGGCTGGGGGTTAGGGAAAGGGTCTGCACCCAGGTTGGGCACTGGGACAGGCTCCCCAGGGCAGTGGTAACAGCACTGAGCCTATGGGAGTTCAAGAAGTGTTTGGACAACGCTCTCAGTCACAGGATTTAATTTTTAGGTACTCTCATGTGGAGCCAGGAGTTGGATTCAGTGATCCTTGTAGGTTCCATCCAACTCAGGAACTGTTGAGTTCAACCTGTGCAAACTTTAATTAGACTTACAAAAGAGGGGAATAATAATAATAATAATAAAAAAAAAAAAAAAAAAAGTAAAACTGATTGAAGAAAGTATGCTTTATCAGTTTATACTGAAGCAGAGATTGCACTCTCTATATTAAACTAAGAAAACTGATTTCAAAAGCAAAATCTTCCATACCTACTCAGAGGTCATGTTCACAAGCGTTATGTTTTTTAAGATAGAGAAAATAAGAAATGGTTTCTAAAACTAGGTTTTAAATACTTCTAGGCAAATTGAAAGAGTGGTCCTTGGTACTCTATGGAACATCCATCCAGCCATACTCACCAAGAAATGATTTTCCAAAAGTGGAAAGAGTGCGTTCCAGTCCAGTTGAAGATCCTACAGAAGATTATGGAACAGATGACTATTCAGGTGTGTATATTCATTCACTCTGTGCATTTACTGATACAAAACTATGCATATAAAAATATTTCTCTCATTGGATTTTGTATTGTTAATGTATGGCCAGACATTGCTAAGGCTCCTGGCTTGCTTACTCCGTATGTGCTCTCTTCTATGTTATGTGTCTCTTAGTCTTTTTGCATTAGTTGAAGACTAGGATTCTGACCCCACAGCAGGGTCTGTGGCCTTTCACATCTGGGAAACAATTAGGTGGTACTGAAAGTTACCAGAAAATAAAAAAAATAAAATAATAAAAATAGCGAAACAGAAACATAATCAATACATTGAGCCTTCCTTGGACTTTATCTGACTAGAAAAATAAGGTTATATTTATATTTCATCTTCTTAGTTAGAAGTGCAATGGCAAAACTGATAATAATTATGCAGGATTTATGAGGATTTATGGTATTTATAAATGGAAAAATTAAAATACTGAGGCTAGAACAAGATGCTGACAGCGTGTCTTTGCAAAAATAGGGCTTCATCCGGATTTTCTTCTCAGGGTATGGAAGTAGTGGGAGTTCAATGAATTGGTTTCTTAATTTAAGATCAGAACTATTTGTTTCATAATTTAAAATTATATATATATGCATTTCATCCATATAAGTTTTATACAGTTTTATATTTATAAGCCGCAGTTAACATGCTATGAAGAATGCATTGCTTTTCATATGAATATACATATGCATACGCACGCAAATATATATGAAGTACATTATCTTCTACATGTGTTGTTTCTTGTTGATTCCCATAGAGGTTTTTCATTATTTTCATTAGACTTCAGTAGACTTAATTTTTTGTTGCTGCAGAATAAGTTGCCAGTTTTCTACATGTAATCCAACAATGTCCTGAGCATTAAGTAGAAGCTTATGAATCTTGAGGAATCTTGCGTATAGTTCCTGCAAGCCAACAGCAGGACCGTGTTCACTTTAGAAGTTTCATTGCACTCTTCTGCCCCAGCATGTCAGACACACAGTCCCTATTTTTGATTGAGAACTGCTGAACTCCTTGCTTTGGAAGGTGATGAAACACTACTATTTCTGCTGTAAAGTTCCCTAACTTCTTTGATTTTGTTGTATGAAGCAAACTGACTTCAGTCCTGGTCCCCTAGACAAAGTCAGGAGTTGATGGTTATTTCCTCCCTTAGCTGGAAGGAACTATTTGAAAACTGTAAACACGAGTGTGGGTGAGATGGAGGACTGGTTAACAAGCATTAGCCAATGCTTTTCCAGCATGTAGCAGCACAGAACAAGATGAGTCTGCTTCGTGGTTGCTGGTTCATTTGGGTTGTGGCAGGCACCAGGACCATTTTGCCCATTTGATAACCAGAATAACTGCTGGTTACATTGACCTACTTGTGATAAATGAAGTTGCTAATTATTCCTTATTATGAATTCCAGAGGCCTTTCAACATTTCTAAATAAAATTCAAAATGATTTGTTATGCATTAGGAAGTCATCTGTTTGGATCCAGAAATAGTGTCTGGTAGATTCTACAGAGGATGCCGCACTTGCTAAAAATTGTAAATCACTGTGAAAAAAATACTGAGGCAAGGATCTGCAAAGGTGTTCAAATGCTAAAAAATTTCTCTTTTCAGTTGAGCCAAATTGCTACACAGACCTAAGATCAAACAGGAAAACACAATAATTGTATTCTGTGTTAAAATATTGTTTTTAGTGGTCCTAAGTATTAAATGAGAAGTTTTAATTCCCACCCTGTATTTCGTGTGTGTGGTGGGGTCCTGTTCGTTTTTTTTACAGGTCCATGCAATGCAGAATGCAGTAAAGTAGGGTGTGATGGGCCAGGACCAGATCATTGCACTGACTGTCTGCACTACTACTACAAATCCAAGAACAATACACGGTAAGACCAAAAGAAAAAAATCTTCACAGATTCATCAGTAAGTATATTAACTTCTTTTCCTCATCTCTTTGCTGCAGTCATGGATTATTTATTTTCCTCTGAATTTGACAAATTTTCTTAGGAGTTGAAAAAAAAAAAAAGAGCTAATCAGAATTTCAAGTACAGCATTCAAACAAGATTCCCTGATTATTTCCCCATCTCTTGATATTTTTTCATAAGAGGCTATATATATATATATACATGTATATAACTGTGATAGCTACTACAGCTTCAGTGATTCAGTTTGAACAAGATAGAAAGAGGTATAGATGGTCAAAAATGATACTCTATGACTGTCTGACAAGGCATTTGCCAGTGAGATAGCATATGCTGTAGGAAAAAAAATGCTGAGGCAGCCTGATGCAATGCTTTGGAGGGTTACATGATCGTTAGAAAATATGTGATCTTTAGAAAAGTATCAATGCTGAGAAATACTTCTGCTTTGCAGTCATGGTCCAGGAATGTGGTGGCAGGTTATATCATTAACGACTCTGCCTTCTCTTCCCTGCTGTCTGCAGGATCTGTGTTTCGACCTGCCCACCTGGTCACTACAATGCAGACAAGAAACGCTGTAAAAAATGCTCACCCAATTGTGAAACCTGTGTCGGAGGCCACAGTGACCAGTGCATGACCTGTAAATCTGGCTACTACCTGAATGAAGTAACCAATAGCTGCATTACCAACTGCCCCGATGGGTTTTACCTGGATAAGAGTTAGTATTTCTTATTGTTTCTTTATTGTGGGCTACAGAATTTGATCTGGGGAGGTAGCTGGAAAACTTATAAGCAGGAAAATATGTTGAATGCATCTAACTTTTCCTCTTACTAAATTCCTAACTATTCCTCTTACTAAATTGTTGCTAAGTGTCATTAAGAATCTTCTCAAAAATCAACCTAGGAATCTTTCTTGATTTTAAAAATCATATTTAGAGGAAGGATGTCATTTCTGCTTGTGGCTGGGAGTAACTAGCAGAATGATGGCAGTTCAAGAACAAAGTCAGCTGCAGTACTGAGAAGGTTATCAACTACTCCAGAAAAGGCAGGCATCATCTAGATCATGAACATGAGGCATTCCCATTTCCCATTCTCCCACATTTGGATGCTGTGACACCATGTAGAAGAGGCAGCTGAGAAGTTAACCATGGTCACTGAATTGGAGCTCTGATGAAAATAGTCTTCTGGGATGTGAAATGTAATTGCAATTAGCATTTCTGACAGGCTTAAGTACCTGCAATGATGTGATGACCCAAGAGGAATAATTCCCTGACAGATACCTAGCTTCCATTTCCTTTTGCAGTTGCCATACCTAATTTCTAGTTTTGGGTAGCAAAAATACTTAGACATATATTCAAATGTGTTTAAACTGCACTGACTTCATTTGTGTTTAAACACATGCTTAGAAGACAAATATGTGCTCAAAGATCTTTGTTCGACTAGATACTTAACCTTTTGCTACCTGCATCATGAACCTGTGTGTTCATTTTTGGTAATTATTAAAAGTGCGTACTACTTCAATTTTTCCATTTGTCACTGTGTGAGAACTACAGTGAAGGGAATTCACTTCCACCCATTCAAGATAAGTAGATGAAAATGTAAAATTAAGGGGGAATGTTGTTTTTTTATTCTTAGAGAGGAACATAGCACTGCATCTCAAAAGGGCAGGTCTGAAGAGAGAAAGAGACATCTCTTAAAGTAGGGAACTCTTGAGATGTGAAGACAAGTGTCAGTAACTTATATCTCAACTTTCTTATGATCCTAAGTTTTTGTGTAGGTGTGTCCTTGAACACCAAATCAGGTAAGACACAACAGACTGTTTGCATGGAAGGCATAGGAAGTAAATTGCAGGATAGTTTCTGGAACATATGGCAGTCATTACTGCTTGACCCTGCTGTATGAAAAGAGGATTTAAATCCATATTTAAATAGTGAATTTAAATATCAAATGTTTAAAAAGATTTTTGAACAACCTCAAAGCATGTTATTTCTGTAATGGCACAACTATAACTTCAAATGTTTAAAAATAAATTAAACCATTTGATGTCTGATGGAAAAAGCTAATGACAGGCAGAATTCGCCATTTTAGTCTAGCTAGCTGCTTCTGTTCCGGATGTCAAGCTACAAAACAGTAAGTAATGTTATAGATGTATGTCCATATAATTTTATTAAATACAACTGACCAGGGTTTTCTGGGCTGTTTTCTTTTTTCTTTGTAGATAAGATTGTTTGCCGAAAATGTAGTGAAAACTGTAAGACATGTGTTGAATTCCAAATCTGCACAGAATGCAAACATGGCCTAAGGTAAGGAAATGATGGATATCACTAAACACAATAGCTGAAGAAGCTTAGAAATCTGTGGGTATGCAATGAAGTACATTAGATAGCTGTTTAACCTTGAGTGGCCCTTATTTCATGTGTTCCATTGCTGTTTAGGCAGTAATACAGTATTTTTTTATGCTACTGCATGGTGGTTTGGCCAACAATGGATTTTTAGAAAACCTTTCATTTCAGGTAAAATAAAAGTCACAGTTATATGGAAAGCTGCCTTTTTTTTTTCTTTTTTTTTTTTTTTTTTCTGACCTACAGTGTAGCGGTCAAGGATTATTTTAGAGGTAGACCTGATAAACCATATTAATCTTTCAGATTCGTTCTGGTGATACTTAGAAACTATTTTCTTATCTTTATTGTGTTTCTTCATACATCCAGTCATTCACTTATCTCAAGTACCTCAGGCTCAATTCTATTACAATGTAGTATGCACATTATTTTGAACAGCAGTGGATAATTTTGTTTCATAGGAGGACTTAATCATTTCTGAAATTGATAGGTAGAACCCACAAAGCATCAGTACACATTTCAAGCTCCTTTATGAATGAACAACCTTTTGATCCAAGCAGCTAAGGTCAAAAATCCTTCAAAATTCATGAAGGAGTGTATGCTGGCTTTATGCCACAAAAAATATGAAGTATGTCAATATTCAGTATCTGTAGGGGTTCTTCTTTCAGAATACAGTATTCTGAAAGTATTTTAACACTGAGCTTTTACATTTTGTCAAAGTGGATTTTTGTCTTTCAGGTAGTATAAGCTGAAAGTTGTTTTTTTCCAGGACATCAAGAGCTAGATTCCCTTACATTTTGTAAAGGAATTCTCATTTCTGCGTATTTATATTGCATTTATATTTTTCAAGTGCTTGCACAATTGTTATTACAAATATCTAATTTTTAAAAAGCAAAACAAAAACAGACCCTTTGAAGAGGAAGTGTGATCTAGTGGGAAGGAAGGCATGGGACTGAATATGAACATTTCACTCTGTGAAATATGAGTATCTGCTTCCATTTTAAAAAGTAATTAAATTTGCAGTCCATGTTAAGAGTTTGGAGAATTTTAACAGATCCAACATGGCCTTCTGTGTATCTGTGAAATTAAATTAGTAAAGTAGCAGTTCAAAAGTTCCTATAATTGTCAAATACGTCAGAAGAGCCATAATAGTGACCATATAGGACACAGTCTCCGTAGAAAAGCTATGTCTCGTTTTCTGTATTTCTCAGGAACTAACTTTACATGCTTCCATGTCCATTAACATCAGCTTGTAGCACCACGGAAGAAGCAGACAAATCTATTCTGTGTGACAAAAGAAGGAAAAACAAAAAATAAAACAAACAAACATATTTCATGTTTTCTTGGGCAATATTAGCAAGCTCAGATTGGTTTTTGGTAACGTTTCCAAAGAACACCATCTGTGTGGGCGTGAAAAGTAAGTGGAGTCTTGAGACCCAGAACATGCACTTCATATTGCTGTTGTTCAAAATTTCCTGCATTTTCTTGGCAGAGTTGTATCTATGGACAGGATGTATCTATGGCTGGGACTTGGAAGACATTGATTCCAGTTCTGATTCTGCTGTTGGCCCATTAACTAAACTCAGGCAAATGATTAGTTTTCCCATTTGTAAAAACATGATAATGCTTTGTAAAGCACTTTGAGGTGTGTGGCTGAGGAAAAATAGTAATAAAGGAGGTGTTACATTTGTTGAATTGCTAATTTATTTTTTTCTAAACTGGGATCATAGACACTCCAAAAGTTCCTGCAGTGCCCAGCACACAAAACTTTTGTTTTATCCTATCTATAAAACAGCATTAGCTCTCACATAAGGTGATAATCCCTAGAAATGAAGAGCATTTTTAGAGAAAGAGCTCAATTTGGTGAAAGGTGAGATTCCACATAAGATGGCAAAGATGGCAGAGAAGTCCTACCTTTAAACAAACAACAACAAAAAAAAAACAAACGACTGTTACTCAGTACCTTGTGCTCCTCAAAAGTACCTGCAGACAGAATACCTCCATCTGCAGACAGAATACCTCCATCTGTAATCAAGGCAAATCACCCATGCCATGCATAACTGCTATTCAGTTAGGAGATTTTAAAGGAAACTGCTATGGCAGAAAGAGGTGGTGATTTCATTGTTTGAGAATCTATTCTTGGTATCAGGATATGCTGCTGGTCTTTCAAACAAAGTATGAAGTCTTGTTAACAAGTCCCTTAGCATTTTTTTAATGCAGTGGTGCTGACCCTGTGTCAAATCACTCTGGCATCTTTCATATTTTACTGTCCTCTACTACTTGGTAGTATTTACAATGAGTTTGTAAACAGCATCTGTGTTTCACCATAGATGAAACTGCATTTCATTCCCACTTGATGTGATTGCTGTCTCTAAATTTACACAAATATGACCAGTGAAGGAAGCCAATGAATCCTAATCTATGAGTTGCACTTTCATTACAAGAGAATTACTGGTTTGTGAATGACCTTTTTGTCTTTTGTTGCTGTTATCTGCTCAGACATTGTGCTTTCTTTTTTTTTTTTTTTCCTTTTTACAATAGTTTGCATGGCACCAAATGTGCTATCCGCTGTGAAGATGGAAAATACCATAATGGTAGGGAATGTGAACCATGTCACCGCTCCTGTGCAACATGTGCAGGTATCTGACTGGCATCTGCATTGTTTTCCTTTCCTCCCTAATTTTAGCTCCGATTTTATCTTTTCATTGTTACTACGTTCTAGTTACAATATAATGTGCCTGCTGACATATAATTTCTTAATTCTTTTGGTAGTTCCTTAATATATCTTAAATATGGCAGACTTGTTTCAGCTAACATGAAAATCTAATTGAAGGTGTGCATAAATTCTTTTTTTTTTTTTTTTTTTCCCCTGTAATAATGCTCATTCTAATTTCCAGTAATGCCTTCAATTTTCTTTCTGGATTGGAAGAATGATTGGATAGATTTTATGGCATGTATGGAACTACCAACATACATTTCTTTCAGAAAAAGAAATACTGCAATTATGTAATGCAATATAATATATATAACATAATATAATACTGCAATTATGTAAACACCTTTATTGTTTGATGTTACTCTTTGAAAGACAGGCAAGTAAAACATGGTCTCTAAAATTAAGATAAGGTTTTGCTACAGATAGAGTTGGTGTCTGTTACACAATAGGAGGAACTAACCGCTAATATAGTGTATTTTCTCTGCTGTTTAAGGTGGTGGAGTAGACGCTTGTATAAACTGCACACAGGGCTATTTTATGGAAGATGGGAGATGTGTGCAGTCCTGCAGTACTGGTTACTATCTTGATCACTCTACTGAAAGTGGATACAAAAGCTGCAAAAGGTATGATCTGTGGCTAATATGTTTGATGTTCAGTAGTATGTTAGCTATTATTGTGTTGAGAATACATTTCACAGAATCACAGAATATCCTGAGTTGGAAGGGACACACAAGGATCATCAAGTCCAGAGAAAGATAAAACTTATGAGAACAGAAAACACTGCTGACTTCAAAAAACAGGAAAAATGTGCTTTATACTAAGCAAATAAGTAAAATGTTTGGTTTTTTGTTTGTTTGCTTTTTAAATTTTAAGTTACATTCATGCAGATCATCTGAAAATATTTTTCTAGTAAACATACATGTCCTTCAATTTAAAAAGCCTATAGTGAGAATCTGAGTAGATATGCACAGAAATGTAGAATTTACAAATCTGGCGGAGGATCTATGTTTCCCAACAAGTCAAAAAAAAAAAAAAAAAAAGTGAATCTATGATTTTTTAGTATCAGGTTAATTACTATTCATAAGGAGCATTTCAGTTCTTTAGCTGTATAGACATAAACATGACATAAATATATTAACAGACTTACTGTCCAGCATAGATCATCTGAGTGTACCAATAGGTAGATAAGCCTTGGAGAAGTTAGTGCTGTGCAAAGAGGGGACATACTTTTCTATTTCATTCTTTGTTAAACAAATACCACTTGTTGCCCTTTGGAATTGTTTATTATTGACTCACGTTGAGTTCAGGGCAGGAAGAGAATCACCATGTGTTACAGTTTTCCAGTCTTCCACACACACAAAAAAAGCAATCGATACAGCCAAAAGGGTGATGAAATGACTAGGGGGCAGGTCAGTCTTTTCCATCCTGTGGCTTTGAGTTCATCCGTTGCTGGTGTATGGATGCACTATCAGCTTAATACTTTGATTGATTACTACTGCATAGTTCCTAAATACTAGATTAACGCAGATATTTAGTTTCAAAAAAATGTGAATAAAAAGTGATTGAAGGACAGAAACAGGACTGACTTGCAGGAGGAGGTTGTGGGGTTTTCTAATTATTACCATTGTTAGAACAGCTGATACCTCTGGAAACAGCAAACAAGCCTCTTGCAGTGCCAAAGCAGCTTCCTGGGAACTCTTGTACTTGGTGAGGCCATAAGGCCAACCGTAACACTGTCTTTCAGATGTGATGCCAGCTGTTTGGACTGCAGTGGTCAAGGAGACAGAAACTGTACGATCTGTCCAAGCGGCTATAACCTAGACTCTGGGGTCTGTGTAGTGGGAACAGTCTGCAAGGATGGTGAGTGCAATTCTCTCAAAAGATCTGTTTTACCATTGGTGCTTCGTTTACATTTATTGGGATGGTCTGGTCTCTTCATTTGTCAAATTCTCAGTTTGAGGTCTACGCTACTTTTTACTTTTTTCAGTCTTGCAAAAAGGAGAAAGCCACATAAGTGTGCATTAATAGGATTAGTCACATACACACCTGAATTTTCCTAAAATAGTTTTCCCCCCTGGCAGCAACCTACTTTTGCTTCCTTTTCTGTTTTTCAAAAGATATTGCTTTCAAAAAAAATTTATATGAGAACCCTAGCGTACTGTCAATAGAATCACATTTATTTATTTCACCACTTTAAACCATGAAAATGCTGGTAAGTATAAAGGATCTTAAGTACCTGTAGTGTTACTTGAATTATGTGAAAGGGCAATGAGAAAAAGAAGAACAGAAGGCACCAATTTTTAATGGAGATCTGAACTTCCTCCAAGCTCTCCGAGGCAATGAAGGTATTGCTTACTGCAATGAAGGCATTCTTACTGCATGATTGGCTTAATTATTCACTAATAGTCATTCCTTTCAAAAGTCAAAATTACAGAGACACTGAGATAGCATCATGCTTCTCTTAAAATACTACTATGTGAATTACTTGTAAATAACAACCGAACAAGTGCTACCCAAGAGGAAAATCACACCAGAACAAAGCCCAGTGTTAAGCAGCATGAAAGATACCTGATATAAGTGCAGTAATACATGCATATACATATGCAGACAGTTTGGTCATTATTACGGTAGGGAAAATCTGTCCTCATTTGTCCACATGCAGCTTCAGCTGGATACACACATACAGTTGCCCAGGTCTGGGGACACCCTGCCTCAGTCCTTTCTCCCTGGTTCTTTTGAGTGCAGTTGCCATGACAAGGCAACACATGGGCATGTGGGCCATGAAGCAATTGCAGTGCGTCCTGCTGGATCCCACCACATGGTGTATGCTCTCCACAGCCCAGGGTAGCCAAGGAAAAGTACAGAAGTCTTTCCTTCTGTTATGTTACCAAGCATGGTGAGCCTCATTTCACTGCCTGACCATCAGCACTGGGGACGTGTCTAACTCACTCTGCAGGATTTGCGTTTCTGTTGAAAATGTTTATTCTTTTTCCATGGTTTGACCGTTTTATTCTTTTGATTCATGAAAATCAAGAACAAATTCCTTTGCTGTAAATATCACTGTTTTCTAATTATTATCTTTCTAATCTTTTTTTCCTTTTCACAAATGGATACCAATCATTCCCTGTTGGACCACACAATATCTCTTCCTGAAAAAAAAATGCTGTTGACTGAAATTCCTTCTGATGGACCAAATTTCCTACTTGTTACCTGCTCCTGAATGGTCTCTTCAACCAAATCTGCCTGTCTGACCAATTAAACTTCCCTCCATTGTACACACCATGCTCTCCAAACCTTCAACTTCCCCTTCTTCTCTTGCTGCTGCCCTCCGGAAGCCACGGAAGAGTCCTGGGCCGAGGGAGGATTCTGTATGCTGGTGAAAAAGAACAATCTCTGCCAGCGGAAAGTGCTCCAGCAACTGTGTTGCAGAACATGTACGCACAAGGGGTGAACTGACACCTCCCAGAGTCCTCCTGCTCCTGTAGACTTATAGATTAATCCGTATTATTGAAAAAGAAAAAAAAAAAAAAAAGCCACCTCTCTCTCTCTCCCCCCTCTTTGTCTGGGGAGATGGTGAACTGTTTGTTGGAACTTAAATGGAAAAACTACAACACGCCTACCTTTCATAACTGGGTGTTTAGAGCTGAGCATCCAGAATCACAGAGTCAGTATTGTGTGACCAAAGCATTTGATGCCAAAATTAACGTTTAACTCATGATTTGATTTCCTGTCAACCTTAGAATTATTCCTGTTTTTTGAAGGTCCTTTTTCTTCCCGTTTTTTTTTCCTGCTTGTTTCCCCTTCAAGGTATAGAGTGTTTCAAGAACACACACGTTTACACGGATTAAAACTAAACAACACAAAAAATGTTTGCATTAGTCTTTGTTGTGCTATGTGAATTGACAGGGGGAACTTCAGGAAATGAGTCCCTAAGGGAATCAGAAACATCGTCAGCTGCAGGACTAAGTTCTGTCCCTTTTGTACCAGTATTTAAAAAAGAAAAGTGATCATTTCTGCACACATTTCTTTCCTACTTCCTCTGCTGTGTGCTGTTTTTTGTATCACATGCAGTGTGTATATATGTTTTGCCCAAAGTGGTTTTTTTGGTCATATAGATCTCATTTTTAGACAGCTAGCTTATTAACAGATATGCTAGGATTTTTATTTTATTTTTTTAAATTGTAAAAGCTATTTCAAATAAACTTAAAAAAAACTTTGTTCCTGTTGTGAACAAGTTTGGAAGATACTACTCTTGGTTTGTGTCAGCAAGAGTAATGTATACATGGAAATCAAAACATTGCTAACATATAAGGAGTAGTCATAAATTATTGTTGTCTTGTAATGTTCACCAAAAAGGGGATATTATCATGCAGATATGTGGGGATATTTCATGGTGCCCATACAGAAATGCCAGTGTGACTGTATGTGACAGAATGTGTTTACAGGACTGGATTTATAATTGAGCATGTAACACTGTGCCAAATACGTCTCCAGGGGTAATTACATATAGGGCAATAAATCAACTGTTTCTTGATGTAACAATCGTGTCTCGATGGGCCTGAATCTGCTTTTAACTGCTCACAGTACAAATTTCAGCAGGAATAATCCTGCTGAGGTCAATAGAGTTACCTCATTGTAAAACCATCCTGGGTGGTAAGAGAAATGGGCCTCCCTTCTCTCTTTACCCAGGTACACAGCTGTCAGTACAAATTTCTGTTTAATATATATTCATCAGCTTCACTTAGCATGCTGTTTGGAAGCCATTAATTTTAACGAAAACTAGTAAATTGAACTTTGAAGACACTGTTTTTGGGGGAAAATACTTAAAACGTGCAAAGTGTCTCTCTGTTTTCTTTCCAGGACACACAAGTAGAAAATGTATTGCAGGTGTTTAAGCATGTAAATGTTAGAAAATAAAGAGAACCTCCTTTCTAAATACCAAAATGATTGTGGAAGTTTTACAAATGATGGATACAAATCTATAGAAATAATATGCCCACTTTTCCAGAGAGCAGATAAACTATTGCAACCCATGTCTGGTTCTGTATGACAGGGGGCCTGTGAAGCTCCTTTGGTGCCCATCACAGATTTCCTGCTAAACATGCAAAGTTATAAGAATTTAATATGTGCTAGTTTAACTACTAGTCTGTTACTGCCTCATTTCTCAATATAACATTTTTAACTAGAACATAATGCTTTCAAAGTTTAAGTTAATATTATATATATATTATATATAAATATATATTCATAATTGAGATTTAATTATGTAATGGATTGTAAAGAGTTTGTTTGGATACTTACAAATGCCTCTAACACTATTATAGAGAAAAAATTAATATCTGTTTTCTTTAAAAAAAAAAAAAACTGACACATTGTTATATCCAAATTCATTTTTACTGAAAAAAATACTGTACATGTGTAAAATGTTCAGTTGTTATTTGTAAAATAGGGTAGTTCTGTTGTAATTGATATCGGCCAAAATCAATGTTATTCCATATTTTATTTTTTCTATTAAATTAACCTAAATTCATGTTCCTTTGGTCTGGAAAAACATGTTGGTAATCTATATGTAAAATATCTCTGTTGAAGGGCACAGGTAGCTTTATCCTATAGATACTACGTGCAAGTCATCGAAACAAATTGGGGGAGGGTAAGGGTGTCTCATTTTTTTGTGGATTTTTTTTTTAAGTGATGAAATTTACGAAAGCATAAATGTCTGGTTTCTGTGGGAGGACACCTTTTGTGTATTATCAGTTCAGCCATGTCTAAACCCTGATGGGCAATAGTGCTGGCTTCCTCCTCCCCATGAGAGTTTGTCTCGTGCATTCTTTGGATTAAAAAGCTGCATGCATAAATACCTTTTGACTCAGAAGGCTTAGGAGGAGTGTAGTAGTTTTATGGTTGTTCATGGCCATTTGCACAGTGCAGTACTGATGCGTGTTTATATGCTAATACTCACATTCTGCACACCTCAGGTAACAACCCTGGTCTACCACTTAAGAGCAGCAGGCTATCTCTCCTTTCCATTAAACCGAGAGGGCTTCCTGTAGTCTTAGCTGTGATCCCTGCAGGATCAGATCTTCCACTGACATTAGCTGATGATTTCACTCATTTTTCACTTAGTCCTACAACCTGAGTGGAGAACAAAGTGGCAACTCATCCTCAGAGTTTGTATATTCAGAAGAAGATCTAAGCATGTTCACTGAGGACATGTAAAGAAGATCCTGAAAAAAAAAACATTTTTTAGCCATTGGCTTTCAGCCTCAAATATCTCAGTATCACTTGGTTTCAAAATATGGAATTAGGTCATCAGTCTCCCAGTTTTCCTGTCATTTTTTGGACAGCACGTGTTCAGCAACAGTTTCATTAAGCCACACTGGGAAAAAAGGTTGGCTTAACCCTTATACCAATGCTCTATGAAGAGCTGTTTCTTTCACGTGCCATCCCACCTTTATATTCAAACTGGCATGAGAAATTCAAGCAATCACAATGTCAAGGCTTCATCTTCTTTGAATGGGAAACATACAAAGAGTACATCCATTACAGTTCTGGCCAAATAAATCTGTCCTAGAGGGTGTACATCTAAATGTTGGTCTGTGAAGCCTCACAGAAAAGCAAGCCTGGGACAGAGTTTTAGATTGAAAATGAGAAGTTTCTGGTGTCGGTTCAGACTTTTTGAACATTTTTATTTCTTGATGCATTGACAGCAGTGGCCAGATGCAGAATTAGTAAACAGCACTACAGTTAGTCCTTGCACAAGAGGCTCACTGTAGCAATGGGATTGTGGTTGAAGAAAGCTAGTATGTCCCCACCTGCAGAATTATCTTAGGTGATTGATCTCTGATCAATGCTGAGTATTT